TAGTGGCATACATTTATATATGTGTATTGGTGCTGTGGACGCACAGGTAAGTGCCAGGTAAGTGGTATTCATGTTGTTATGCAGTAGTAGTTTGAGAGGATTAGAGAACTCATAATCTGCACCCCCGGTGTTAGTGCTCCCGTCCAGGGCCAGGGCACAGCCTTCACGTGTATGTTCACCAGCACCGCATGCTCGTCTTGGATCCAAGTTAGGTGCAAGCCTGTCGTGGAGACCACATTAGGTGGTTCCGACTTGTAGGTGACCCGCGATTTATCGCACAGCTTCACGTGATCGTAGCACTAGAGCATACATATATATTACACCCAGCTTGTCGTGCAGACCACGTTAGGTGGTTCCGACTCGTGTGCAGATTCAGTGATTGAGTTGAGCGTGGAGCTCTAGGTGCAGCGGTACATGTCACGTTAGGTGACTCCCGGCTGCCAGATTATATATTGTGATGTGATTACGCTTGAGCATTTACATTTATTATGAGATTCTATTGTGGCATATTCTCAAGCATGAATGGCATATTGTGAGCATGAATGGCATATCATGGAACATGATTGACATATCTATACATACGTATATATGTTTATTTTCTGGGAAATTATACTTGTTTTACGGCGAGGGGTTACAAAGTTTTGAGAAGTGTTTGGAATCGGAAAAGAATTGTTTTACTGACCCACTCAACTTTGTTTTGCGCCCCTCCAGGTTCAAGAATTGCAAAGGTGTGGTGACTACGAGGAAATTCAACGGTGTTCTGACAGAATGGACCAAATAAGGACTCACCTTCGGGTGTTGCATTTTAGAAGTAGTATATTTTTAAAGCTTCCGAACTGTGCAAATGGTTACGTCACTCTCACGTGACGGCCAGCATACCCTCCTTCGGGACGGGGTGTGTCAGTTGGTATCAGAGCCTAGTTTCAATCTTGGACATCTTGAGAAGTTCTAGTGAATTCTGTCAGAACTACACCGCCTCGTAGCAAACCACGTAGTTAGAGGAACTTAGTCTCCCTGATTTAGCTGTTAGGGGGAAACTATTATTTTGGTGATTCAGTATATTATCAAAAAGGGACATTTTAAGATGGGTTATGAGTGGAATTTGAATCACCTTATGGAAAAATGATGGACCTAAGGGAGCAAAGCGATGGCTTAATCATTTGGAAAAAATGTTTTAGATTATGCAAGTCAAAGGAATCTTCCTTTTGACAGAAGGGTTGAGACGATTACCTGGTTTGAGTTATGAACTTGTATCCTGGTGGAAACAAGAGTATAATTCGTTGTCACCGGAGGAAACAGCCGATTGAGAATTGTTTAAGGATTTGTTTAAAGAAAAGAATTATTTCCTTTGGCATCTTATGATGGTAGAAAGCAAGAGTTTGCAAATGTGAGACAAGGAAAGCTGACGATCAATGAGTATTATAGAAAGTTCTCAGACTTGCCTCGTCCCATTTGAATATTGCTGCTATTTTGATTGAAGTGTTATATTGTTTTAGGCTGGGTGGCATAAGGCAGTGGTATTTTGGGTGACCACTATCCATTGTAATTCTTACCAGGAATATACAAGATGTTGTTGAGCCTTGAAGACTCTGAGAACATGTTCAGCGAGAGTAAAGAAAAATGATAAAAGAATGGGAATCAAAAGAGGACGATAAAGTTAATGATTCGTCATATCAAGAATATAGAAAGATTCGGAACTTCAAAAGAAGTGAAGCTAATTCTAGTTCTTTTGGCAAAGGTTTTAATGCCATTGATCAGAGGTGAAGTGATAGATGTATTGGTAATCTCAGATCTCAGAGACAAGGTGATTTTGGTAAGGGAAATGTACATTTGTGCTGTAGGTACAATAATGGACACCTTTGAGAATGTAGGCAAGAAAGCATTGGACGCTTTACAAGTGGATAGATGGGACATAGAACTGCAAATTATGTCCAAAGCCAACAGAGGCCCTAGCAGTCTTCTTTGCCACAACTGGCGCCGATCCAGCAAGTTCCTGGATCTATTAATTGTGGTCAGTTAGGCCGTGGTGTACATGAAAGAAGTATTTACACTAATAGAGGTTGTGGGAGACAACAACAAGCCCAGGGATGTGTTAACTACACATCACTGCAAGATACTCCGAATTATTTGGATTTGATTAGGGGTACGATAATTATTCTTAATGACTTAGCTAGAGTCTATTTGTTAATAATGTAGAAATTTTACGTTATTATTGTTATTGCCTTGAAAGTAGTATTTAAATGCGGTTGAGACATGTGTATGTATTTCCTAATGAGTGGCAAAATAGTAATATTACACCCTCGAGAGTTGTTGCTTACTTATCGAGACAACGATGATTTATCAGTATTGCGGGCTGCAGACCGTAATATTAATAACTTATTCGTGGATTCGTTAAGCAAGTAAACCGATAGGTTATTCTATGTTAGTATCGTACTATTCAGAGTGCTCAGTATTAGTAGAGTATGTATTGTTGCTAGCTACTTTTGTTCCATTAGATTGTGGATTTCGATGTTATTCTAGAGCATATTATGTTATATACAGTGATGAGTTGCAGACCACGCGAGGTGGTACTGAATGTGTGCAAGATATACATGATACGATGAGTTAATTATGAGTTATATATGCAGCCGAGGGCTGAGTTGATTAGAATGAAAGAGTATGAGCTATGTTTATAGCTGAATGTTGACTTGATTATATGTTATTTTCCATCGGTCTGGATGACTAGAGATTACTTTTGTAAGTATGCAAAGTGGAGTGAGGCAGGCCGTTATTTATGCTGTGAGAGCAAAGAGATTATTATCAAAAGGCTGCCAAGGATATTTATATCATGTGGTGCTAAGTGATGTCACTTCTAGTAGTGTGGAAGAAGTGGGAGTAGCCAAACATTTACATGACGTTTTCCTTGAGAATTTACCTGGATTGCCGCCAGTTGAAGATGTAGAGTTCACTATTGATTTATCTCCAGGTACAAACCTTATATTATAGAATGTTGCCTTTTGAACTAAGAGAATTGGAAATTGGTTGATAAAAGTTTTTATTCAACCTAGTACATTACGTTGGGGGAACCCCAGTGTATTGGTGAGAAAGAAAATGGACGTAAAGGCTGTGCTTTGATTATAAGCAGTTGAATCGAGTAACAAGTGAAAACCGTTATCCGTTACCTCACATTGATGGTTGTTTGATCAGCTTTGAGGTGGTTGTATATTTTCTAAGTTTGACTTGAGGTCTGGATATTATTAGTTGAAGATTATCGATGAGGATGCCCTTATGATAACTTTCAGGACTCATTAAGGTCATTTCAAGTTTTGGTGATGCCATTCGGAGTGACGAATGCATCTACTACTTTATGAATTTGATGAATGAAGTATTCCAATGATATCTAGACCGATTTGTTGTTGTTGCTATTGAAAAGATTGATAAGACTAGAGAAAAGTATGCTAAACATCTTAAATTGGTATTGCAAAGATCGAGGGAACATCGATTGTATGCTAAGTTTAGCAAATGCCAATGTTGGATAAATCAAGTAGCATTTTTGAGATATGTTATGTCTGCTTCAGGTATTCAAGTGAATTCATAAAAGGTAGCAGAAATTGAGAATTTAGAACAACCACGAATCGTGATTGGGATTCGGAGTTATCCTAGCTTAACAAGCTATCAGGGACGGTTCGTGAAAGATTTTTCAGTCATTGCTTTGCAATTGACGAGAAAAGAGGTTAAGTTTGAGTGGGATGATATTTATGAGTAAAGAATTCAACAACTGAAGTATTTCCTCACTCATGCACGTATTTTAGTATTCCCAGAGAATAGTGGTAATCATAAATTTTAATGATGTTACTTGAATGGTATTGGATGCATGTTGATGCAAATATTAGGGTGATTACATACGTTTCACGACAAAAGGAACCTCATGAAATGAATTACCCTACTGGTGATTTGGAAGTCATGATTATCATCCTTGCTGTGAAGTTATGAAGACATTATATTTGGTAAGAATGCAAGATTTTTACGAATCCAAAAAGTCTCCAATATCCATTACTTGGAAGGATTTTGATATAAGGCAGGGAAGGTGGATTGAATTGTTTAATGAACATGATTGTACGACCAGGGTGATCGTAAAATTGTTCTAGCTGATGCACTTGGTGAAAAGACTGTGGTAAGAATTAATGTCTGGCACGCTTGCCAAGATTGTCTTCTTGTGGATTGGAAATCAATTGAAGTAAAGTTGAGAATGGAAGTTTGAGAAGAAGTTGTAATTGCTAATTTTCAAGTTAAGTCTTTTTAGTAAGGTCGTACTCAAGACTCAAATGGTTAACGAAGAAAATTAAGAATTAACCAAGGCAAAGAAAGAAGGGAAAAAGAAAGATTGCTGAGTTCAAGAATAGGATGGTTATGATTGAACTTGAGGTGATAGTTGATCAATGTACCAAGTTAGTACATTTACTCCAGTGTTGAGTAACAACCACAGTACAACAGTACTTATAAGTTTTATGGAGAAGAGATTTGGGTTACGGAACTGCTGAGTTTCTTAAGTATGTTGGTTGCACAGTTTCCAAAGTAACGCCATAAGGACCATGAAATGTGTCGATTTTTGTTGATTTGTGGAAGAAATACTTTTGGATAGAGAAGATTCGATCACGAAAGAGTTTTGGTAGGCCCTGAAACTATGGATGAGTCTTCTCAAAGTATTCAGGTGATTAAGTATAACCTGAGAGTAGCCAGGAATGGCAAAAGAGATTAATAGTTGAACATGTCACTAATCGAGTGTTTAACGTAGACGATCTTATAATTTTGAAGTTTTTACTTTAGAAAAGTAAGATTCGGCTGGGAAAGGAAAGCAAATTAAGTCCTAAGTACATCGGACTTTATGTGATCATCGAAGAGTAAGTGAAGTTGCTTGATTTACTTCCAGAGTTATTGTAAGAGCATGATGTGTTTCATGATTTAACATTTTTAGAATTTTCATCACGAAAAGAAATAGTAAGATTTGGAAAGGAGACAAAATAAGTCTTAAACACATCAGACCGTTTTTGACCACTAAAGGAATCGATGAAGTTGCATACAAGTGGTGATGTCTTCAGAATTTGCTAAGGTGCATAATGTATTATATTTCGATGCGTTGTCACTAGGTGGCAGATTCGTCACATGGAGTTCCGGTGCAACTATTGAGAATTAATCCGGATTAAACTGGTTGAGGAACCAAGGACGACTTTGGATTGGAAAAAGAATGTATTGAGAATTAAGACAGTGTAATTGGTAAAGAATTTGTGAAGAAAGCAGTCAGTGGAAGAAATTACGTGGGAGAAGGAGAATCGGATGAGAGAGATTTATCCGAAGCTATTGTATGAGTTTAGATGATTAAGTTGGTTGTTGGAATTTCGGGGACGAAATTCTATAAGGAGGGAAGGTTGTCACAACCCGTCCCGGAATTTTAATTCCGAGGACGTGAAGTTATGAAAATGCCCTTAAACGGGACTAAGGGGCGTAAAATATGTTGTAACTTGATGATTTGGGGATTGGGTAGGATCCCACCTCCCTCAAATCTCTCCCCCATTTCTGCATTTTGTCTCTCTCTCTCTCCTCCCTCACAAACCTCTCATTCTCTGAGAGTTCTCTCTCTCTCCTTCGAACTCACACAGACCACCCACAAACCACCCCAAAACTATACCAACGAAGGATCTAAGACCACCATCGTACTCCTGAAGACCACACGAACACGATGGTACCAATTTCAGGTGAGTTTCACTTCGGAAAACTTGGATTTCAATTTCACTGTGCGTGTGCACTGTTCATGCACACGTAAAACTTGATGTTTTCTGGGGTTTTGAAGCTTGTAGGAAGCTTGGTGAGGTCCTAAGGAAGCTCGGAGTGCTTCGTTTGAAGGATTTGGACATCGGGATCACAAACTGTAAGTTCGGCCGAATTTTCGTATTTTTGGAAAAGTTTGATTCCGTTGTTTTTAGGCCCTAAAACTAGTCCAACGTGGTAGATTATGATTAGGGCTTCATTTTGGTATAAATTACGTGAAAAATGGACGTAGGAACACGGAGAACGATAAGTTCAAAGTTTGGCCGGAGCTGTCGGGGCTTTTTCCGGCGAAACCACGGCGAGTTAGGGGTCGAGACAGGTATGGATGTGTTCGTCTCGTCAATACCTTCATTTTGATATATAGTACGTTGAAAATGGTTAAGAAATGAAGAAGTTATGACACTTTGAAATTTACCCAGAAATTCCGGCAAAACACCATCTCCGGCGAAACCAGTCCGGCGACGCGAGGAAGAAGACGCGCGCGTGGGCAGCGCGTGAACAGGGCGCGTGGGGGCGCGTGCAAGCTCCAAATTGAGTTCTGAAAATTGTCACGCGTTCGTGACGTCGTGTAGATCACCGTGGTATATTCATACACCCAAATTGAGTAACGTATGAAAAAGTTATGGACGAATGTTTGGTGTATGCGCGTTAAATAACGTCAATTTGGTTACTTTTTGTATAGGTGAAAATATTACAGAGGAAGAATGTAACCAAGCTAGGGGAGGTTCAGGGACCTATGAGACGTCGATGTGATCAGTGAGTGGGCAGTTATTTTTCAGTATATATATATATATATATACGTATGCTTGACGTATTTCCCAGAAACGTATTTTAAAAGAAATACGAATTAATTATCCTGTCATATATGCATCATATTTGAATATGTGCATTACTATAATTATGCATACTGTTGCATGGTGCTGAGGAGGCCCAGGTAAGCTACGATTGAAATACTATCATCACATGCATTAGTAGTGGCATACATTTATATATGTGTATTGGTGCTGTGGACGCACAGGTAAGTGCCAGGTAAGTGGTATTCATGTTGTTATGCAGTAGTAGTTTGAGAGGATTAGAGAACTCATAATCTGCACCCCCGGTGTTAGTGCTCCCGTCCAGGGCCAGGGCACAGCCTTCACGTGTATGTTCACCAGCACCGCATGCTCGTCTTGGATCCAAGTTAGGTGCAAGCCTGTCGTGGAGACCACATTAGGTGGTTCCGACTTGTAGGTGACCCGCGATTTATCGCACAGCTTCACGTGATCGTAGCACTAGAGCATACATATATATTACACCCAGCTTGTCGTGCAGACCACGTTAGGTGGTTCCGACTCGTGTGCAGATTCAGTGATTGAGTTGAGCGTGGAGCTCTAGGTGCAGCGGTACATGTCACGTTAGGTGACTCCCGGCTGCCAGATTATATATTGTGATGTGATTACGCTTGAGCATTTACATTTATTATGAGATTCTATTGTGGCATATTCTCAAGCATGAATGGCATATTGTGAGCATGAATGGCATATCATGGAACATGATTGACATATCTATACATACGTATATATGTTTATTTTCTGGGAAATTATACTTGTTTTACGGCGAGGGGTTACAAAGTTTTGAGAAGTGTTTGGAATCGGAAAAGAATTGTTTTACTGACCCACTCAACTTTGTTTTGCGCCCCTCCAGGTTCAAGAATTGCAAAGGTGTGGTGACTACGAGGAAATTCAACGGTGTTCTGACAGAATGGACCAAATAAGGACTCACCTTCGGGTGTTGCATTTTAGAAGTAGTATATTTTTAAAGCTTCCGAACTGTGCAAATGGTTACGTCACTCTCACGTGACGGCCAGCATACCCTCCTTCGGGACGGGGTGTGTCAGTTATCCTTATCAATCATAAGCAGAGGGATACTACAAATTTTGTTAACAATATCCACACTCATAAAATGTAAAAATAAAGTCATGTTCCAACAGTTATTAGAAATAAAATGACTCACTTTCAAATTTCAATCTAAACTATTCAATTGGTCTTCCTATACAAGATGGAAAAGGAAAAAGCCAGTTATGGTCTAGAAAGATATACTTTGACCATTTCCCACCGTCCATCACATACCCTGAATAACCTTTCTCGCATTGTTGAGGACTCATTTCCATGCAGTAGAATGGTTTTGTTTAACTTTTGTTTCCATTGTCTTCAGTATTTTTTTTTCCTTACAATTTGCACCAACCAGCTATGATCATCAGTACGAGCTTTCCAACCAAGTTTGGGCAGACAAGTGTTTTGTTTAATCTTTGTTTCGAAAAAGGTTTCTTGTCTTGAGTATTTTTGCCTTGCAATTTGCACCCACTTGTTATGATCATCAATAAGTTTCCAACCAAGCTTCGTGGGAAAAGCATTATTAAAGTGTTCACTTTTCCTAATACCCAGAACCCAACACTCTTTGGTTGACAAACTTTGTCCCAATCTATTGGACTCAATTTGTTTGTTTTATTTTTATTTTTTTTTTCGAGAGAGGAATAATCTATTTTCTTTATTAATAGTCTTGATAAGGGCGTCGGGGCATTTAAGGTGAGCCATAATGTGATTTAGCATGCCCATGAGGTTGGATTTAATCAAAGTCAATCTATCTGCCTTGGACATAGTATTTGCTTTCCAACTTACTGGCTTCTTTTTCATTTTGAGCATAAGCTCTTTTTCATTTCGAGCATAATCTTTTTTTATTTGCAGGGTCTTTTACATAAAATGATGTTATGAATCCCCATGTATTTTTCAATAGTGGTTTTATGTTGGCTTGTAAGAGATTGACCACATCATTTCTAACTTGATTACTTGTATTATTTGGAAAGTTGAGAAAAGACTTACTGAAATTTACCTTTTGCCTGAAACTAATGCAAAATCATTCTTGTATCTGATTACTCACTAAAAGCACAACAGTTTCCTAATGACATCTCATCAAGCGCGTGCCCACTAGCTGGAAGCAAATGTTAAGTGCTTCATGAAGCCCAATTAGCCGATATTCACATGGGGGTGGAGGCATGGGTGAGAAATCCAAGCCCATAAATAGTGGTAGAATCAAGCCCGTAAAGCGTGATCCCTTGGCGCTTAAGACCCAAAACTTCGAAAATAAAAGACATTCTCAAACCCCAACCCTGCAAAATCTACTTCCATTTGAGAGAAGAGATTATTGGTCGTGTACCTATTTGTGTCCCTACCAATGTTGTTGAGGAGTACCATTCCCGAAATCAACTTGTGAGACTAAATTTGCTCTATCTAACACATTTGGTAGAGAAAAATTTTGACATGGAATGGCCATGATGGCTGAATCTCCCTAGCAAAATTTGGTTAACTCTGTGAATGATTCCTTAAGTTCCCAGATATAAGTATGGTGAATTGTTTTAGTTTTGGATAATGTTATGGATATTGTCCTCAAATATGAGTTGATTGAATCATGTTTTTATATACTTGTGACCGAATTCAATTATCATGTCATTAGGTATAAATATGAGAAAGTTGGTTGTCTAGATGAATGTACTACTACGCACACTAACTTTATACCTAATCACCCTTCTAACAACGAATTCAAGTCTATTCAGCCCAATTAAGGGTATTGACACCGTTCTTTGTTGTATATATGGTACTAAATTACCATTAAAGAGGCCTTATATTCTCCCTATTACGGAAGAACGTCGTTGAGTTTTAAGAATATCTGATAGCACAATGGTCAAGACTGAAGCTACTAGAGTGGAACATCTTTGCATCCCCTCCTAATAAATATGGATCAATACTTATTTTGGAGCCAATGGGCCACACCCTGAATGGATGTGCGCCTTTAAAGGATGGTTTGTCGTCCCTAATAACGCATGACGCACCTGTATGGACAATATGGTACAAAAGACGGCTAGCCAATCATCTGTCTTCGGCTAAAATTGACTAATCAAACAGTTCGTAGGATTCACTTCCCTAATAGAAAAAAAATATGTCACAAATGAATCATTACTCGATCATTGTCTCAACCATTTCATCTTATGAGATTAATCTAGATTATCTTGAGACTTAAAGTTCTTGGTTCAGTAAACTAGTTTGGGTGAGATAAAATTGGAATGAGATTATCATCGATGATATTTCACTTATATGGTTGCTACCAACATAAATGAAAAACAACATTATGGAATTGTGTTCAATTAATAGTGACAAAGTAGTAATGATTGGTCAAAGGACAACTAATGTTGAATTAGATTCCTTATCAAAGTATGTTTGGGACCTATCTTACCTACATCTGCCAAGGAAACCTTCTCGTGTTTGAAGTGAGAAAGGAAGCGTAATGGAATGAATGAAATAGTGCGATGCAATGCACATTTTATGGCGTAAGACTTCTCTCAAACGCTTCATGATTCATTGCAGCTTATGAATGTGGTTATAGCATATCTCTATGGAGATCATGATACAAAGGTTTACATGTAATTTCTCAAAGAATTACATGGACTGATCCAAATAGTTCTAGACCAAAACACCTTCTCAACTTATATGAGTCACTTTACGAATTGAAACAATCTGAGTACATGTTGTATACCCTTCTAAGTGATTACTTGACCAATCAAGGATATGTGAGTAAATTATGCCCTTTGCGTGTTAACTAAGAAGTATTCTGAAATTGCTAGAGTTGCAATGCATGTTGATGACATGAATCTCGGTAAGATTCTCAAAAAAATTGAGAAAATTGCCTAGCACCTGAAGACGAAATATTAGATGATGGATCTTGGGAAAACTCATCCATTTCGTGACCTATCGAGTATTGTTCTGACGGTATTTTGGTCCATTAGTCAAAATACAGCCAAAAAGTGTTGTTTCTGAGTACACCTATAATCATCGATATACTAGATGCAAATGAAACCTTTGTAGAAATTTTGGAACCTGAAGTTCTACTTCTGCATTAGGCAAGATATCTCTATCGATTGATATGTTGGTATTTACTAGCCTTTGCACACCATATGGAGGAAATGGCATTATCGGTGGAAGGATGATTTGGTGATAGTTTATGAAACTTACAGAGGACAAACATCTGTGATGTTGATAGAATTGTGCTCGGTGAGTAATGGTGAGGCTTATGGAAGAAGGAAATCCATGATGACAACACGAGTTCGGTAAGCGTTGATGAGGGTCACAGAGGAAGACATCCACGACGCTTATAGAAACTTTGTAAACATTGACGAAGCTAACACCAAAGTATATCTATGGCATCAAATATGTGTTTGGAAGGTGGTGATGAGACTCGCGGACAAGATGCAGAAAATCAAGAAGCCAAAATCTCTCACTGTCTTTACAAATGCAAGGCAATAGTGGCTACATTAATTGCCATTCAGATGAATAGTATTGCTAGTGCATAAGGAGAATTCACCATAATCTCTCTTTATAAAGGATGCGGAAAAATAATTTGTAATCAACTCAATTATGGGATACTTTT